AAAAAAAAAAAAAAAAAACGCCTTTCCCATTAACGTTTTGGTAAACGGAACGGGTGATTCTATTGTTAGTGATTCATCATTGTAACAAATCGTTCGTTTGAATTTATGCAGATATCGTGAAAAAATTGTATCAAAAAGAAAACCAAACGAATTGTGATTAAAAATAAGGACGCATAGAATTGAGCTAACATAGAGGGAATGATAGGTTGATAAAAGCCTCGTTTGTCCAAATTAAATTTTTATTAAACACGATTTTTGTATGTTCTTCATTTAACATCGAATACGAATAGTAACATAAATAATCCATTCAATTCAAGTATCACTTTGAGCGCTCAACAATGAATCTACTGTATAGTAAAACTGGAAGATAGTAGCACTATGGGGTAGGAGAAGGAGGGGATGGGCAGCAGTTTAACGACGGCAACGGCGGTGGTGATGGTGAAAATGTGACTATTTTATTGGTGACGGCGTCTTTCTGCGCTTACTTATCTTTTTTTGTGAATACGTACGTATGTATGCATATCATGTGTGTATATATTTGCGTGTTAGGGACACATTTGGGTGTTGGTGCTATAGAATTCAATATCAAACATCCTCACTCTCATCTCCTTGAATTTATGTTGTAGCTTTTTTCTTTTTCAAATTTTATTTAATTCTCTTTCATTCAAAAAAAAGCACTCACGCAAAACTTTCTATCTCTATCAGCTCCCCCTACTCTTTCAACTGGTCTTCTTGCAATACTTTACAACAATAATAAATTTTAGTACGACGTCTTCACATTAATTAACATGTTTTTAATTATTATTATTTTTTTTTTTTCTTGTAGATATGCTACGCAAAATTCGGTAAAATGCGCGAGATCAATACCTACAGCATCAATCCTTAACTATATTTAAGCCATTTATTAACACAATGCGAGGGGTTTTTGGGAGTTGAAGGGGGAGGATCATAAACAAATTATTTTCACAATATATAATATGGTATATACAATACACACGCGCGCACTATATAATATAGAGTATAGTTGCTGAGGTGTAAACGCGAATAAACAAATTTACTCAGTAATTACATTTGAGTGGTTTTTCTTGTTGCATTACGCATGTATATATATGTATATACATACATATCCAGCTTTGGCGTGCTAATTAAACTGATCACGTTTGTGTCGTATGTGCGGTTGTAAACGCGAATAAACAAATTTACTCAGTAATTACATTTGAGTGGTTTTTCTTGTTGCATTACGCATGTATATATATGTATATATTTATAAGTGTGTGTATATAATATTTATATGCACATGTAAATTTCTATAATATTCAATTATTCAATAAGTAACAGAAAAGGATATACACTGTGTCGATAACGCGTGCTGTTGTTCAATCAATTCTTTTGTTCACCTTTCAAAACTTTTCGATATTTGATCTGTCAATGGACATATTATATTATTGTTCCAATCAGTGTGATGTAAGATTCGTAGATCAGTCAAGCATCGATGTACGTACGAGTTAATAACAAGTGTTGCTCACTCACCGCCGTGCTTCCCGGCACGCGAATAAATCTCCCGTTGAATTTCCATTTCTTCATGTGTGCCGTACAATTTTACATCATTTTCTCTTCCTCTAGTTGCATCATCTTATCTCAGTTATTTCAATGAAATTTCTAACGCACCCTTGGCCTGCATTGACACTTGATACGAATAACGCTCATCTCTCTTTTGTTCTCCAGCTTTTTTCAAGCATCTAACTTGTGTCAATTGAATTTTCTTTATTTTTTACTTAAATGCGAGCCGTCAAGTTTCACAAATACAAAATGAATCATAGCCTGCGTCCTGGTCCAGCAATAGTTTTTTTTCTTCATCTTTCGGTCGCCAACTTCAATTTAACGCTTCAACAATTACAGCTTGCAATTTCAGTACTTGTTGCTTCAAATAATACTCCGTCCGAGATGAGATTTCTCTCGCAGATTTCAGCTGCATTTCTGCGGCACCGAAACAATTTTTTTTAACGCAAGGATGATGCTGATAGGCGATGTTGAAAATTTCGAAGCGATTCGATCATCGAAATATAGGGTAAAAACTAGAAAAAAAAAGTGAAGCCCCAGCGCGTGCCGCTTGCAAAAGATTGGTATATGAATGACGATGTTGCTGGATGTACGATTTACATTTAAATATATAATATAGATAGGAAACACTGTAATAGGAGTGATAAAAGAACAAGAGCGCGGCCCCCGAGCCTCGGAGACGAGAGGAGCGAACAAATACGTGGTGCCAAACAAAGTACATGAACTCCGAGAGAAGTCTTCGGAGGGCTCCCACATGACCTTGGGCAGTGTTCGTATACACGTTAGCGTGAAAGTGCGTGAGGGCTCGAATCCACTCGTCTCCTTCGCGATTTCATTTTTATGGAATGTATATTATCGTTATCATTATTTCTCACACAATTTTTAATTTTTCACGCGTGTTGCTCTGCAGTCAGCTTTCGGTCCTCCTTTGTTTTTGCCTCTTGATCTAGCGGATATTTCCAGCTTCGACGAAACGTCTTCATTTCAAAAGCACGTTCGCAGCAGTTATTGTAACTTAATTTTTCCTCTCTTGTAATTGTAATAAAGATAGTAGTAGTAGTAGTAGTAGTAGTAGTAGTAGTAGCAGTAGTAGTAGTAATGTAGTAGTAGTAGCAATAGAGGCGGTGGTTTTGGTATAGTCACAATTTGCAATGAGAAAATGCAATGAAGGTGTCGTCGATTCATCCATCAGTGCTAGCTCTATCGCGTGTAGCAGCAACCAGACTCATACATGTTTCTCTCTTCCTATCTATATTTTGGTCTTATCATCATAACTCCGATGACGCGCGTTGTTAATAATCTTTCGATACCTGAAGCACTCAAACATCAGTGTGTTCCGTTTTTTCTCTATTATTTCAAGTTTCGATTTTCAATGATTATGCTTGATTAAACGTGGGATACCAAGTGTTGACCATATTATACATTTTTTACGCACTATCAATGTTATGTCTATCATCGATTTACATATTTTTTTTCTTTACGTTTATCTTTGTAAATCGTTACTGCAATCTTGGAATTTTCTTATGTAAATCAATGTTACCCGTCACGTATACTTTATCTCATATTTTTCAACTCATCACTTGCGCCCTGCATATTAGAGATAATTTCGTTTCGTATCAATAAACTACGTGTGTACATGACATAATTAAAACTTTGTGTTTTTCAGTTCCCTCGCATTTTTTTTTTTTACCATTATTATTATTTTTTTTTTCAAATCTAAAAGTTACTCATTATTAGGTAATTTATAACTAAAATTCGTGTTGAGCAAAGTTGTCGACCGTAGGCGACTTTCTTGCCACTATATTTAATGACGCTTTTTATTTACTCAATACTCTTTTGTTTGCGTGATAATTATTAACCAGACCGTGACAGAAATCAAAATCATGATTTATTTTCACTTTCATTTTTGAATCTTTATTCTTTTTTTTTAATCATTGTTTTTTTTTCTTTTCAATTTGTATCTACTATTTTTTTTTTACAGTAGAAGAGAAATTATACGATTTTCGCATGATTACGAAAGTCTTTCGACACAATCATTTAGATGCAAAATAAGTAGTTAAATTTAAAAAAAGTGACCACTGTGTAAGGTAAATTCAATTGATTGGGTAAAACAAGGTTAAACGAGCCAAAAGTTATCAGAAAAATGGTAGTCTATTTCTTTCACTTTTTCTATAAGTGTAATGATAATACTAATAATTATAATAATAAAAATAATAATAATATGATACGGTGATATATACACATAAATATGTAGAAAAAATATATACATGTATATAAAAGCGTATCGATGGACAATCGTACAACAATCAGCGCAATTAAACTAAACAATGTAGGCTCAACAAATAAATCTTGGGAGGTGGATAGAAAGGCTTTGGAATCGCGAAAGAAAATCATGACTTTGATTTTCTTTGGTTGAGCGTCGCGATCGAGCTGTTCAAGCCGTTGATTTAGTGTACAAGTAGATGGCGACGATGAGACCGTAGAGACCTAATACCTCGGCGAAGATGAGAATCAAGATCATACCGACGAAGAGGCGAGGTTGTTGGGCCGTACCCCTGACTCCGGCGTCACCCACAATGCCGATCGCGAAACCGGCAGCTAGTCCTGAGAAACCGACAGCCAGACCAGCTCCCAAGTGAATGAAACCTCTGCAAGTCATCAAATCAATATTACTTATGGTTGAACGCGAGCGTACCGTCATTAAAATAAATGTCATAAAATCATTGGTTTACCTAAATAGAGGATAAGAAGCTGGTGGATCAAGGCCTCCAGCAATCAGGACGGCCACGACCAGGCCGTAAATGGCAATGATACCCGCCATGACGACGGGAATGATGGACTTCATGATGAGCTCAGGCCTCATGACGGACATCGCTGCGATTCCGGTACCTGATTTTGCAGTGCCATACGCTGCTCCCAGGGCTGCGTGTATACACAAAACATGTTACAATTTCGTACCTCTGATACTGTTGTAATTACTTATTTTTTTTACGTATATTTAAAACTTTAAGTTACTTCGTCGCTTTTACAAGGCCTCAAAACAACGATAGCGGGTAAGTTAAATCATTTCTAAATCCCTGTAAATTTTACTGATCAAAATTGCGCATTGACGAAAATGTATTTGGAAACTATAATTTACCGCAAAACATTCAAGTTCTTTGCTCTGAGTTTTCAGTCATTTACTGTAAAATTACGATAATGCTTTATCTGATGAGTATGCTCGATTTTGTCACTGTAAAAAGAGGCCAGCTTTTATAAGGAGTAACATTACCGTACCCTCACAGTGAGAAATTCACACTCTGAGATGATATTTAACTACTTATAAACACCACTCACGTCGTCGTGGTGTAACAGCTGATTGATAATGCTTATGTGGGGTACGAAATGTTTATTTTCGTGGTTCTTTTTAACGATCCCCCCATTGTCAAGATAAATCATCAACGTAGACGATTGCATTTGAGAACAACAGCGTTGTAAAGACGTGCGAATAGACAAGAGATTGATGATCAGTAACAGGTAATATGGAACATTTGTTTTCCCCAACTACTTATATTGGAAAATGAAAAACCAAACGTAAAATGAGTATAGGCAATGAGGCATGAAAAGTATATTATAAGTGCAGCCAGCAACCGCGCATTTGGAGTTGTCGATCGGAATATCGCGTGCGGATTTGTACATACGCCCCGTGGTCACATGATCCTCACGCTGTTGAGCGCTCGGTGCTGCTGGTGTGAGCAGAGAAGGTATTACAAGAGGCGTACGTATATTGTACGCGTGTAACACACGGCGTGCAATCACATGACCGAGGAATCATGTAATGCTAAAGAGAGGTCCGGTGGCCCCGCGAGCTGGATGGAGCTCACCAAGCCATGGCACTCTATATACAGGGAGGCGTGGTGCTCACTTCCGCGATAAGCTTGACTGAGCGATAGTTATCATCCTCGAGTTCTCTTTTTGCGCCTTACATCTATTCAATCGACACCGAGAGGAGCCTTGCAGTCACCAACATAATTATGCACGTTGTATCAATTATTTGCATCAAATTAATTTTATGATTTTGGTGAGAGAAAAATGAAGGCAAGAAGATACACCAATGTCCATCGGAAACATGACAGTAGCACTCACGAATGATAGTGAAACCAAAAGCGTGGGAGAAAAGGGAGGAAAAATTGGGCTACCGATGCGACCTGTTAGGATTTCCAGGCTTTCGGTTTGACGATTTTGGGTAAACAGCTGCAGCTTTTCCAAAATATGAGCGTAGATACGTATGGGTGATTATGTACCCGTGGCCTGCAGAAAATTAGAGAAAATGATGAATAAGAAGAAACGGACGACGAGGAAGCGAGAAGAAATAGTAGGGTATAATATAGGCACCCCTATACGCGTTGGCCCATTTGGCCGGTGATCAAGATCTCTTGTGTGCCTAGCCTCGACGACTATACTCGGCTTTTATGCTCTGGGTAAGTAGATGCACTACGTTGACTGGCAAAACTAGCTATATCCGCCTGCATCCATTCGTCAAATGGCATAAGGAAGAGAACTTCTGGGCCTTTTGCCTTTCTGTGGAATTATTTAGTTTTGTTCGGGAGTTTCATCAACGATGTTAGAATATTTTTTCTCCTAAATAATCATTTTTTACTTTCATTGAGTTATCGATAATCAAATACAGTTGATACATCGATGTCAATGGCAGATTGATCAAACGTCAATGACGTGCAAGTCCTCGGTAGTGAAAAATCATGTTGTCCATCGAAGATATGTACGCGTTTTAAAAAGCGAAATTGGAAGATGAATAAAAACTTGGACATTTGACAAAAGATGATCGAAGCAGTAGCTGCAGAAGTAGGAGGAGCAAGAGCGAGACGTCGGTTGGGGGGATGTATTGTGATTATCTGACGCACTGCTAATTTTTCCATTGATAAGGATAAAATTAGACATAAGTCTGACGGTGCGGGGGAATGTGGTCCGTGCGTTGTTCATTAATGCTGGGATTCAAGCGTTAGCTGATCGATGAATCGGCGCGGCCGCGCAAAAGGGATTCGTATTGATTTTCTCGAAAGGGACAGCGAGACGTAAGTACGGCACATGCACGGGTGCGGGGGCGAAAATGTGGGCGCGTGTGGGTAAGGATATATACATACACGCGAGGAGAGAGAAGAGAAACAGCAGAGAGAAGTCGGAGTAGAGTAGAATGCCGTGTAGGTATAATATATAGGTGGGAAAAATGCACGAGGCGCGCGCGCGCACCACTTTCCTTTGCGACGCGACGAAGACGATGTCGACGTCGATCGAAACTGTTTCTTCCCTCTCGCCTCCGCGTGCATGCTGCTTTTTGACTCCTTCTTCTTCGGCTACTGCTGCTCTGTGCTCCCCGCCAACCCCAATTCTCATACATGCACAAGTTTCACGCATCATTGATGTTTAATGAATTTTTCTTCTGCTACTGAGATTCCCTGCCATGCACTTGTTACTTTGCAAACATAAATGATTTTGCCACTTGAAACATTGAGTCCCTATACAACGGCCACTCGGCCTCTATCAGAAGTAAATTGGAGCTTCTAAAGTTGGGCACTTGAGCTTTCATTGATGAAATCGATGTTGTGTCAAAAATTCATGTGACATTACCAGGTGCGAGAAAAAAAATGTTGAGACTGGTAAAATACCAAAATTGCCATACATCGGTGGTACTGCAGATGAATAACATGGTCCGTTGAGCAAGAATTCGATAATATTGTGAGTTACGGTGAGCGCAGCTGTGGGCCCGAGTTCATAATTATACACAGTCATATTAATCATCGCAAGCGCAATCGAGCAGCTCCAAAAAGAAATTGGCAGAGATCACGAGAGCCTCCCTCCTCTAAAAAGAAAAAAAAAAAAAAGAAAAAGAGGAGTCGGACCTCGACAGCTGGTTCAGACTGTCCTCCGGTGTTTTGACGGTGGGTCGACGCCCAGAGCGCGAGCACAGCCCGAGTCACGAGACCTGCTCTCTCGGTAGCTCGCTCGATCGTGGCCCCGAAAGTGCCTCGGGGGAACCTTACTCGATATTATACATATATATAGATTGACCGCAAGGTACTTGCATTACTCACCGGAAAAAATGATGGCCGATGCGGCACCCATCACGCCGAAGAACGGCCCGTAGATCGGATTCTCTGCTGTGCTCATCCTGATGCTGTTACTGCTGCTTTAACTACTTATTTAGCACCCAACAACTGCTACTCTGCTACTTCTGCTGACGCGGATGCGTTGCGTGGTATTGGAGCTTGTACGTATATATGTATGTATATATGTATATATATACGTGTGTGTGCAGGTATGTGTGCGTGTGAGTAAGCAAGATATAGCCTGCTTGCTTGCGTGAGTACCGTACACGGGGCGGGCGGCTGGACTATTTATTATCTATACTCTCGGCCAACAGGGAACGACGCCTCGTCTTCGGGGATTGTTGAGCAGACGATTATTTGGGTTCACTGGAGTTAGCTCTCCAACAGGCACACTCGCACTTTCGTTGTTGTTTCTTCACTTCTGTCTTTGAACTAAGTATAATCTCGAGGACGATGCGTATAGGTACAAGCAGACGGGAGACAGGTATACCCTGATGATACACGCACGTTCCGAACACTAGCACTCTGTGACGGCAGCGCTACCAAGTGAGCACTGTTCAATATGGAATAGACACATAGACGGTAAGTATAGCAGCAGCGGCGACGGCGAATATCGGCAAAAGCGCGTCATGTGACTGCGACCGTGGCGACAGACAGTAGCCGGAAACTGTCGCCGCCGCAACTTCTGAGCTGTTATTGGTGCCCCTTGCCCAAGGTTTGGCCTATCCGAGTAGCTGGTTGTGGTCCCGTGACGACCCCATGACCCATGATATATCAGCGAGACCGCCGGCTTGCGCAGGACTCAAGACTTTGAGAGAGAGAGAGAGAGAGAGGCCAGGGGCCACAGGTGTATATATATATAAAAGAGTTTTAAGACTGACCCCAGCAGAAGGCGATCGAATAAGCGCGCGGGCAACACATGATTACCTATACTGATCACCATCTGTTTCCGTGAATCCGCTGATACCTGAAACCACAAATCCCCTGCTGAAACTTTTACCTTCCAAATGCGGGGAGTTGGTTATCAAATTAAAAAAATAAATACTAATAGCGTAGGTGCAGTACATTTATCCGAATATTGTTTGGTTAAAAATCATTTTCTGTTAATGTATAATTTGTTTACGTAACATAATAACAGAAGTACTATTGAAAATAAAATATGGATTTTTTTTGTGACACTCTGCAGAGTTGCAGACACCTTTACAGAGGATAAAAAAGGAGAGAGTGACAGTCACTCTCTTTTTTTTATCATCTGTAAAGGACACTCACTCAGTGACGCAGATCCAATTGATACCCTGAGCTAATTGTATAACTGTTTATTTTCAGTAAACAAACTTAAAATACGTCACAGATTTTATTTAATTACAAATATTTCCAATGTATTATTTTATTGAATACATGTTATTGTTTTTAAATCTTTCGCGCCTTATTTTTCACGGCATGGTGGCCCACGTGAACGCGTATATGTATATACACTAGCCTAGTGTCACTAGGGGACTTCACCCCCTGCGCGCTCCGCGTGCCAATCCACCAAACTTTTTTGATTAAACATATTTCTAATAATTATTGAATCTTAATCGAACGATTAAATTTTAAAAATAAATCTAAGTTCAAACGAATAAAACAACTTCGATTAGCCTGTAGGGCGCTACATGTAGTCAGCGCTTGTCTACTTAATCTCATTTGCACATTTAAATGTACCGCCTTTCGTCCCACACGACCAATCAGATCAAGGCGTATTCCGTCGACAGTCACGTGATACTGATTCTTTAGAGATATCACCATAGACATATGAAGAACAAATAGACTGCTCATTCCGAGCAAGGGCAATGAGTGAAGCGAAGCTCAAGTTTATTCATTCGACGAGAGAAAAGAGAGGGCAGTCAGTCAGTCCTTTCATTAATCCTTTCTCGTATATGCAGATTGAGGGTATTTATCAAGGAAAATAGAACTACGAATATATCCGTGCCCCCCTACCTCTTCCTAAGAATATGCAGTCTATCTTTGATATGTCTATGGTCACCTCATCTCTTTGTCATCGATATATATATATATATATATCCACAAGCGCGCGCAGATAGATGCAACGCGATCCGACGCCGACGCCGAGTCGCCGACCGATCCCCGCCATATTATACCTTGGCATACGTATATATACACGTGCGTGTTTATTGGCTAAATGTTGTATGTGTATACTTACGTGTAGGATTACTGAGTACTTTTTTTGAGCTGCATAAAGATAAAGTGCATAAAATATTTGCAAGTAAGTACCCATCACACCAACGCAATATCTCATTACATGTATTCGTTATAATTTTAATTTCTACTGCAGTATAGGTACTTCTTCACGCTTGTGTGGTTGCGTCTCTCTGAGGCTCTGTAGCAGTGTAGCCATCAGCAAATCATCCAGAGGGAGAGAGCCAAAAAGCACGAAGGTGCTAGTCGGGCAGCCATAGCTCATTCCCATGCACATGTAGAGCAGCGATACTCGCTACTTGAGCTTTGTATATGTAAGAAGAAAGCCACTTAACGTAAAAATATTAATTTTTATTCGTTGAACTTGGACATTTTTCTCGTTGGATATAAGTAGAAAGAACTTGATAGGTGTCTAGCTACAAATCTCCATGATATGGATGACTCTAAGGTAAGACGCTCCTATCTCCGCGCCGCGTGTAGCCAAAAGTATAGGTTTTATCATCTGTAAACTACATTAATTAAGTGCATGATTCATTCGTAGTTGTATACTCATGGCGGTTATGTTTTTAAAATTTATAAGCACGTGTATTACAAGCATGCGATGTAAAAATTAACCAAAAGTTTTTCTTCATTTTCACCATGTGAATATTTTTTAACTTACTCGAGCATAACCTTTTCAGAGCATCTATTTCCGAACGTGTTTTTTTTTTTTTTTTTGTTTCGTTTTAAACTGCATTGTTTTAGAACTCGGTCAGCTCAGAGGACCCTATAAGCAAGTAGCTGACAAAATGCTCGCGTAACGCGTGTAACCATGTAAAAATAATATTCTTTGCTCGAGCACCATAGTTTCTGTAAACGTTTATTTTATTTTTTGTAATTAAATATTAACCTATCAATACTTTCTCGTCGGTTATTATAAATACCAACATTCATCTAAAACATTATCATTTCAGTATTTAAATTTGTTTTACAAGCTCTAACATTTCCCAGTGACTCAAAATGATTTGTAAAACGACGTTTCTATCAATTTTTCATGCCACTTATCATTTGTTCTCGTTGCTGCTGTTTATTAGTGTAGAAATAAGTTATAAATTCATTTCAAAACTGCTTTTGACTGTATGTGGACATACATTTACGTAATTGCCTCACTCAGCAAATTAAATAATGTTATGGAGGATTAAGAAGGTGAAAGTCTCAAGTACTTTGGTACCTATAAGTAGAAAATGAAAACAAACCGTGTGTGTTATTGTCTTAGTAGTAAAACAGTTTGCTCTGAAGCAAATAGCAGAGAGTATCAGCAGTTTGTAGCAGTAGTCGTATATTCATTTACAGTAGTCTAAAAAGGGAGAAAAATGAATAGAGAAAGAAGGCATGTCCAACGAATGCCAAAATTATTGTGCATGGTATAAGGAAAACTCTCAAGAGTTAGAATTATCTCAATGTAAAAGTAATGTTAACTATTCTACGCACACAGCAAAGAAGCACCAGTCGCAGTTCAAGTCCAAGACGCTCCCGAAGAGACGACGTCATGCAGGAATCACGCTCGCACTCCAAGTCAAGCAAGTATCGGGACCACAAGGAGTCTAGCCACCGGTCCGTGAAAAATTACTCGAGGTCGCGCAGCCATTCGATGACCCGAAGCCGCAAGTCATACCGGAGCTCCAAGTATAATGATGGCCGCAAGGGTGAAAGCAGAAGCCGCAGCCGATCGCCTTACCGTGGAGGCCGTGGATCTCGTAGCCGCTCGCGCTCCTACTCTAGGTCCCGCTACTCCAGGGACCGCAACTTCCATAGGTCGCACTCCAGGAGTCCGATGTCATCAAGGAGGCGTCACATCGGCAACAGAGACAACCCCTGTCCTGGCCGCTGCATTGGTGTCTTTGGCCTCTCCATTAGCACAACGGAGCAGCAGCTCTACCACATCTTCTCCAAGTATGGGCCTGTCGAAAGTGTGGTTGTGGTCAACGACGCCAAGGTATTTGCTAATTTTTCACAAGGTTTCTCTACTCTCACCCAAATCCCCTTGCAATCAGTACATCTAAAACATGAACATAGTTGGCTTCCTTCTTGAGGGAGCAAATGTGCTGGGGAATATTATCCTAGCCCAAGAAATAGAGCGCATGACTTGAAAGTTAGAGCAATACGCTAAAGGCCTTGGGCAACACTCTCTTTCTTTAATAATTGTTACTTTGCATCAGTACTATACTTATATGTCTATATCACTGATAGCTATTGAAATAAAAGAAAAATTTCGTTTTGTATTTCAGACAAAGCGTCCCAAAGGCTTTTGCTTTGTGTACTTTGAATCAGTTGAAGATGCAAAAGTAGCCAAAGAACAGTGCAGTGGGATGGAAATTGATGGAAGAAGAATCAGAGTGGACTATTCTATCACGGAACGTGCTCATACTCCAACACCAGGAATTTACATCGGCAAACCAACGCATACATATGACAACCGAGGTGGTGGTGGTGGTTATGGATACGGTGGTGGCGGTGGCGGCAATTGGGATGGACCGAGAAGGAGAGAGTAAGTTTCGTGAAACCCAGACAATTTTTCGATTTTTTTATTACAAATTTTACATGATAATTTACTTCTAGTTATAATAACAGAGGAAATTATCGGCGTTCACCTAGCCCCAGCTATTCAAATCGTCGACGCTCCAGTCGCTACGAGAAAAGATCCAGATCGCCTTCGTACTCACCACGTAAGTTTGATCGTTACACACATAGCGATTCGGCACATAATTCAGGTAGTTTACATCAACATGACTCGCGAAGTAAAAATTGGGATCGAGGCGGCAGCTCTAGGCACGCTGAGCTTCAATAAATTGATCATCTTTACACTGGGAGCACATCCGATTGCAATTATAAGCGCTGTCTTCCCAAAGTTCCACTCTTATTTTTCGTAATATGGTCCGAGCATATTTTTGTAAACTGCCTTTTTAAAACTTATTTACAAAATTCTTATATCTATGAACAAGCAAGAGAATGTTTGTGGATGAAAATGTGTGCATGAAAAAAGAACAAAAAAGAGTGCGTGTGTAATAGAATGTATAATAAGTAAAACTAATAAAAATCCAGGAATTGCCAAGTGCAAATTCCCCATTGTCTGGATACGACAATTATTGTTTTCGTTACTTGATAAATTTCAGGTCGATATTAAGTGAGACGGGTTTGATGCGAGATGCCAGGTGTTGGGAGCTGTTTGTGTGACATGATCCTTTGACCCAACCTGACCCAATTATCTTCTAAATATATACTCTGGGTCACAGAAATATAAAATTTATGTTTTATTCATAGTCTTTCATTGTAAATGCGTATTATTTACCTCATGTTGGCCCAGCAATGTTGTGTATTAATCGAATGTTTTACATTTCTATGTTTTACACATACTGAAAGGTCAGAATGGGCAAAAATATCTTTCTGCACAATTTGAATTAGCAATTTTTATAAAGTTGATGATAAGAACGCATTCGGTTATATTAAATGTAATGAAAATTATTTTGTAAAAGATAAATTGTGATCGATAAAGTTTTTTTTTTCCTGCTCCAGGTACTTTCATGTACAGATGTATACATGTGTATTTTACTTTAAAAAATGAAAAAAAAATTGATCCGTACTTTATTTAAACTCTTATTAATAATGTAGCTTATGTAAAATAGCGAGGTTTTGACATTAATCTCTTTTGAACACAATAATGTCAAAAAATTTATGATTCATGGTAATACGAAAGCTAGTTACTACTGTAGAAAAATGTAACAAAATAAATGTGAATCAGTTAATGTAAGTTCTCTAACATATTTATTTGTTTATAAGGTTTTGAATCAAGAGGTATCGGATGATAGAGGGAAGTTTGCAAGTTTCAAACGCTCAGAGAAAAAGAATGAAAAAAAGAAAAAATGTTGAAATTTTTGAAAGAGAACAGTTGAAGATGAATTTAATGAAGATCTTAACTCTTGAATCAATGAAGATTCTTCTGATGATTATTGCGCGCTTCTAGTATGTGACAAAGAATATGATCATTCCAGTCAACAAAGAAACTCAAGTTTCGAAGTTTTTGAAGATCCACAAGCTTCAATATTAAGTCAAGATTACAATCAAATAGGGGCTTGACTGAACTTTAATTTCAAGTCTAGGGGCGCAAAATTAACTGAATCGTTCGTACAATGACAGCTTATGTAATAACAAGATCCTTCACTTTTTTCATAGGTAGGAAGTGAGCATGTGCTCTTTACTACTTCACACGATCATATTCTTTATCAATATTTTATCTTTTTTTAACTTGGACTTCCAATTCCACTTCTCACTGATTAATCCTATTATTATCTACTGCCCTTGCATCCCAATTACCTCGACTCATCCTTTTAATTTTTTTTTTTTTTTTTTTTCTCACTGTTAGAAGTATAATTTAATCAAAATAAGTAATTTATACCGATTACTTGCCAATAAAAATGATCATCAATATAATTTATATAATATAATTAATAAATTTTGAAATGTGTACTTGAAAGCAACGAAATGATTTAAAAGAATAATGCGTTATTTTTATTCAGGAAATTAAATTGATTTGGTATATCAAGATAGTTATCTTATAATACGACTACTGATTACAATTTTCTTTAAATCTTGTTTTTTGCTCTGAACTGAGATAACCATTGCAAGTAGTGTAACACAGCTAACATAATATATACACCAATAATTTAATTTCGTCATACATTCAAAAGCACAGAGTATTTTTATGAAATTATAAGGATAAATTTAAGTTCATACCATCTGTATATGCAATATAAAATTTGAAGAGTAGTAAAAAAAAAATTTTCTTACAAATGTAAGGACCTACAGATTAGTAATTATAAAAGTTTTGCAATCGCTACTTGGTGAAAAAATAATGCTTAAGTATGGTTGATAATTAAAATCGCTTTTAATATTTTCTGCCGTCACTGATAAAGAGCCGCACCACCAAAACAAGCAGCCAACAAAATAATTTACCGTCACATGGTAAAACGTTCTGGGTTCTCCGCATCTTCGACTTCAGCAGCTGATTTGTTTGACGTCGTGATGAAAACACCAACTGGACTAGTGCGATCGACTAACCATTATTTGTGTGACGTTTCATAGCTTAAAATTCATTGTAAACAATCAGAACGTTAAATAAATAAATTTGTACTTGTGCTTATATTAGTACGTACCCAACAATAAGAAATTCTTTCATTTTTTTTTTTATTTCTTACCTTAAGCTTGTTCCAATTCTTAGGTATACTGCACATTCAATTCATATTGAACATGTTGTCAAATATTGTAAGAGAACATCAAAGTAAGCAGGCAGCGAGAAAAGAAAGTCAAGGTAGTTTACTTTACAATATTACGCTCTTTGTTTTTTTTTTTTTTATTTATACTTATTATCGATTATGTATCCACACCAAACTATTCCAATGCAGAACAAAAACGCAAAGAAGCTGTTCAAGCTGCAAATGATTTGACACAAGCCTTAGTGGACCACTTGAATGTTGGGTAAGTAACTGTGCACTTGATGAGAAAAATTACAGGCAATTGGTAATTAAACTTATTTTACATGTGTAGAGTGGCACAAGCATATTTAAACCAGAAAAAACTTGATGCCGAAGCTAAACAGTTACAGACCAATGCAACGAATTTTGCCAAACAAACACAATCTTGGCTTCAGTTGGTAGAATCTTTCTCAGGGGCTCTAAAAGAGTTGGGAGACGTTGAAAATTGGGCCAGAAGCATCGAAGGCGACATGAGAACGATTGCCACTGCCTTAGAATATTCTTACAAAGGTTGCGATACAAAAATTTATGCATTTTTTCTGCATTTGGTACAATATATTCTTTCTAGTCGAGGTAATTGTGGCATTAATTTTCAGCAACGCAAGAAACTCCTAGTACAACATCAACTTAAAAATTTGTAGATAACGTCAACATCCAACCGTGTCATGAGTATTTTTTATATTAAAAAGTTCTTTTATAATACGTTCATCACTGATCAATTAAAGGTGATTATTCCATTATCATATATTTATACTAATAAAGAGAGTTCATAAATTAATTTACCAATCATTAACTTAAGAAAGAAATAAAAAAAATCAGTTTTTATGAAAAAAGAATTTTCAAAAATTTTTGTACTTTTTATTCTTAAAAGCCATACTTATGTCACCTATGACTAGTTTCTTTTCATCCTATGCAAAAGCCTATCATAAAAGAGAAAAAATATTTTGATCACTATGACTGAGCGAAAGTTGATATTTAATTTGTACATAGAGTTAATAATTCATAACATTTTCCTCGCGTAAGTACAATACACAGGAATCAATAAATAAATCGATACAAGAGCTAGCTGCAATTATTGAGATACCTATAGGGTTGGTGTGTAGAATATAAAATCTGCGTGCAAATTCTGTAGTTAATTTTTATATACGAGGAGCGCTCATATCAGTCGGCGAGACGCTCCATTTTCATGCAACTGTTAAACGTATTGCACCCATAAAAACAAATTGCTCATAATTGCGTAGAGAGATGTGTTTGTTTATCTCCACTACAATGTGTTCATAATTTTTAGTACAGCCATACTAGTTCCAAGTATTAGTTGAAATTCAATCTCATTAGCTTTGAACCTTTTTTATTCTCATCGATTAAGGAGGTTCGGTAGTGATAATTTTTTATGATGAAAATTTTTGAAATTTCGATATGTCGTTTGGGATAATAGTATCAAATTACAGCTAAATTTTTGAAGGGTTTAACCACACCGTTTTCAAGATATATTGACCTGAAAAAACAATATTTTAACATGTAGGCTTATGGAGAAATCACTTAAATTTCACATAAAAAAAAAAAACGGCTAAATGAACTTGCTTTTTTTTTTTTTTAATGAAAGAATATTGTCAAAATAATATTTTGTCAAAGTTTGAGAGAGCCCTACCACAAATTTCTATTAAAAAACAGCAAAAATGTGCTCGCAGCAGACGACTTGGCAACGCTGCTTTTGGAGCGCGCTTTGAAATGTAATGAATAGTAAAAACTCCTTTTGTAATTAAAAATTTAATTATGAAAAATTCAACTGAAGAAATAAGTACACTGTCATCAGTAGACGACGACAACAGCAGTTGACGACAACAACAGTAGACGACGTGCCAGCAGCCGAAAAAATTCAAAACGTTGCCAGACGCTCTCCCTCCCCTTGCCTCTCTGAGATTTCCCCCCGCTAACACTACCGAACCTCCTTAAGCGACTTTTCCAGTCTTTGTCTATGTATCGTACGATAAAATGTCAAAGTTGAAGAAATTCAAAAACATTTCTGTCCATGGATTAAAAAAGTAGGCATATATTTTTTCTCTCTCTTGTAAAATTATAAAAAATCAGAATCTTGTATCTTAAGATACAATTAATTTCTATTTTATTAATAAAATTTTAATTTCTATTGATTTTCTTACACGTTTTACTCTCCACACTTCTTGCAAGTCTCATTTATTTCGAAAAATACTGTAAGTCAAGCTTATTTTTCCATCCTCTACATATAACATACCTTGCACACGTAAGTTTTGTCAGTGGGCCTACAATAAATAGTAATAATGTTCCTCACCACGGGTGGAAGTGAGTAAAATTGTCTCGGGTCGTAACTACACGTTCATTTCGGAACGAGCGAACATGTACCGGAGTGTGCGATCTGCAAGGGACATTCTTTGCTTAACTGCCCAAGGGGGGCGCCCGTTATATTGTAAGAATGAAAAAAAATAAATCAAGTCATCGGTTCAGTTCCGAGAACTGACTGTGATCATTATATACATTTTTGGACACATTTATTATACAAGTATACTTCCATGGAAATAACAACTTCAGTATATCATCAAAAACCTCGCACTGGTATAAATATATGTATTATTGTAAATTCAAAAAATAAATACTTAAGTATACTTGTCCTTCAAATTCTTGGAAGAAGTATACAAAAGAAAGAATTTGCGGCGGTTTCCTCATTTATTCTCCTGGGAATCGTCAGAGACGAGAAATCGGGTCTCCTGAGACGATGACTCCACTTAATATACACACAACCCCGGGTTCAACTTTTTTTCTCTCTTTTTTTTTTCATAAAGATAAAAGTTAATCACGAAAAATGAATATTTTAGCAACGACATCCTCGTTTTTCCCCACCCAGTTTTACTAATTTTGTACATAATTGTAAATAAATCCTCATTTCTCGAATGAAAGGGACGTATTTAAACTTTTATTGAGAGTAGCTACGAAAGGCACGCGCATGATACTTATGGTTAAAATTTAAATAAACTTCTTTATACTTGCGCACGCGGTCCAACAACGTCATTGGCATCAAAGTGCAAACATTTTATACGCGCTATCGCTTTCAAAAGCTTTCAAAAGGATTACCGTGGTTATCGAACATGTGTTCGGTAAGTAATATCCGGTATCTGTTGTTGCTCGGCTCAATCAGCACGAGAGGAAAATTTGTCCGCCGTTATCTACAAAATCGCATTATACTTTATTCAGCACTTGAGACCCATGAGTTTTGTGCCACATTGAGTTGGTTAAACAACCGAGAGGTGAAGGAACTTTTTGAATATAACCATTTGTTCGGCTATCAATAGGTTTTATGTTTGATTGGAATTTTTTCCAACTTCTCGTTTACCATAAAATTTATTCATTCTCGCGTTCGTATCAAATTGTGTTACATGTGGAGAGGATATACACCGACTGACGCGGGTTATTTAATATCTGTCCACATTTTTAATATTTCAGCACGGAAACGTAAAAATTTGAATCCAAAAGACAATCACACCAAGCCAAGGGTCTAACGCTTCAAATTAATTGATTTTTTTTTTTTCTTATATTACTTCTACCCGGCACCCTTTTCCAGCATTCTTCGGAACGAGAAAGTTGGCATTTGAAACGACCGTAATTCTGCATTGTATTTTCCCTTGGATACTTTTAATGCCTCGTTTTAGGATTTTGTGGACGTAAACGTCCGTACCTGCCTCACCGTAAACTCTGATTGAGCCGTAAAAGATAAGCTGAATTTTCTTTCTTTCTTTTTATTTCTCGAACCATCTGTGGATGATTCTTTGTCAAAGACTTTTTTAAATTACTCTTGTAAAATGCTAATGCTATATCATCACGTTGTATTTATATCCGTGGAACTATTCCTATAATCAGAGACGCTGGAAATTTCAAATATTAAAAGTAATGAACTATTACAAATTTTTGGATACTATTGTAGGATGTCTCAATCAAGTTCTCAATGAAGGTTTTAATAGTTCCATTTTATTATTAAATTAAAGTATTGTTACAAATGTTTTTCATACATTCTCTCAAATAAGCATCTTTTGTGGCCGTATTAATTAAGTAAAAATTTTTTAAATAAAAATAATAACGAAGTATATTTTTGAAGAACACGATGATGAGTAACAAACAAGTGAATGAAAAATGTAATTTATCGTTACAATGGATTGCTCGAGCTGTAAACAATAAAATAATAATTATATATGATTATTGGCAACATTTGGTAATGCGTTTAAAAAATATTTACGGTTTCTCGACGGCCACACAAGTCACGGGAACGAGTATGGACAATAGCTGCCATTTGTCACTCAAGGACTGCGGGATGGTCACCTCCTCCACCTCCCGAATATCGAATTCACTATCTAATGTGAGTATGGAATTCATTCCACGTTTCGCCAAAACTTGAGTCTACACGTGGGAAAGTTTTATTTTATCAACATCGACTTATTTTTCCTTCCTTTCAAAGATTTTTAGCGAAACCGTAGATAAATATACATGTAAATGATTTAAAAAATTGTATCGTACTCACTCTGTGGTAGTAGTATGTGCACTGGTAACACTTGCCGGAGCACATTTTGGACTTGCATTTCGCTGTCTGGATGTATTGCGGATAGTAACCGGTGCCGAGATTAATCACCTTGTAATGAATCGCGCAGCCACAAACTGGTTTCCATTGACTCGAAGAATC